AAATACCAAGGTCACTCTTCGAAAAACAGGTCAAGAGGTCACGTGTAGAGGTGGCAAAATGTAGACCCGAGGACCCGGTCCAAAAAAACAGTCTATATGGGTCCAGACCGGTTCCTGGAAATTTTCTGACGGGTCGAACCGGGTTCTACCATAAACTATACATCTTGCACACTACACATTATTGCAAAATATGAAGTGAATGAAATGAATGTTTCTTTGCACACAATAGCTCACGAGTATTCCCAGTAGGAAATAGGCTGTTTTACATGATGCAGCTAATGATACCTACAAGTAGTTTGTATTAATGGACTATGGGGAACGGGTTCAACTGGTTCCGATTCCAACTAAGACCGGGTCCGACTGGTTCCAGAAATGTCCAGCCGGGTCTGGTTCGAGTCTGGTTCCCAAAATTTCCATCTTTTGCCACCTCTAGTCACGTGATCAAAATTTTCAAAAATTGAAAAACCGAGATAGGTAGCCAAAATGTTCGTTGTTTGATTAAGAGTTGAACCATATAAAGTTTTTATCATAGAAAACCAACAGTTTCTGAGTTAAAGGGACTATCCCACCTTCTAAAATGTTGTTAAAACCAGTTAAATTGTGCCCGACTTTATAGATTGGATGACCAGGAACACGGTTCTGGCATTTATTTTTCATTAAACATCTTAGGCTTCACAAACTTTCAAATATGTGACGTCACAGCCCAAAATTACCTCCTTCCCCAGGCCACATTACTGTCATAAAGCTGATTCTTTTTACTCTGTAGGCACTAGGCACCACAACAAAGTTCAGACCAAGTTTTAAGCGATTTTTCAACGAACAAACCTATTTAAATCAGAATGACTAAACGAGGTGACGTCACACTAATGGTCGCTCCATGTTGAAGATAGGGCCTTGTGCAAGGCCCATTTTCAAATGAAGGGAACGAATTTCTTCAACACCAAGAGGCCGCGGGGGTTGCAACCTAGATAGATAGTGGTTTCTGAACCTCGCCGCAAACTTGGCTATCTCAACTCAAACCCCATGTTAAAGGTGGGATATAGTTCGTTTTTTCTAAGTTCGACCCTCACTGTAAACGTCTCTTTGAACACAGCACGAGAATTGGTAGCTGAATTACTGAGAAAACTCGTTGGCGCACAGTGATTTCGCAGACGATCAATTGTATCAAAATTATTTCTACCTGGCTCCTTTTTCCCAGACTCGCAGCCCGGTATTTGCAACCTCACAAGGATCGAGGACTTATCAGGAAGTATAACCGAACTAATTAGTAAATCGCACGGCGTTTAACGTAACAGTATATGATAGGTGTTAGAAACTTATTTTAAAAATATTAGTTCATATCTCCAATACAAAGTGCGCTAACCAGTTTTCTCAGTAATTCAGCTAGCAATTCTCGTGCTGTTTCCAAAAAGATGTTTACAGTGAGGGTCGAACTTAAAAAAACGAACTATAGTCCCTTTAAAGGCCGCCAAACATAGGGTTGCAGCGTGACCTCCAGGAATTGCCCGAGGCTATATCTCGGAAACCGTTGTTCGAAGAAAAAAAATCCTTGCCACAGCTGGCTTCTCCGCCCATCACAACCTATTAGACCAATCTTAAGCAAAAAATAAAATATGACGGTGTACGGCTTTGGTCGATCTATCGTGGAATGCCCCAGTTCCTAAATTCGAATTCAGCTCCATAAAGCCTAGAAACATGTTAACCTCGAAAAAGTGACCCGAGATCATCAAAGTACAATGCCCTGATTTTCAGGTGACCTTGACACTCACCCTAATGCATGAAATCAACATTATATCACATGTTTGAACGCCATGGAAACCACGAAAAGACTGCCAAAAGCGCGGCTAATGCGAGCCGTCATACGCCGAATAGCGTTTCCGGACAAACATGGGCTCAAGATATAGGGCTCTTAATATAGGCTCGAGATATAGGGTCAAAGGTCCTTTGGGTCAGGGTCATGATATTTTCAGGGTAGGTGTAAAATTGATTAACTCGAGGGTACTAAACGTTCCGTCGCGTTCAGCCTTTTTTATGCGAGTTATTTGCAAAAACCAAGCGGGGTCCGTTCGGCCCCCCATACGGGCCAGGGTTAAAGCCTAAAGGGAGTAGTTCACCCTCTTGATTTTTTGCAATCGATTTATGATTATTATGCTCAAATTGATCATGTAATAAAATGAAAATAAAAAGTAATACTAGATGGCCATGTTTGCGCGATAACTGTATAGGTTTTGATAGATGTGTTTGAGGGGGCATTAGTTTGGGTGTAGCCTAGGAAGTTTAATTTTTATCAGTAATAGTTGGGTGGTCTTCTTGAGATATAAAGGCAGCCCCCTGCACGTGCGCACGCGCTAACTGAGACTCTAGATGACTTGTGGCAGCCACCCTTCTAAATTGTTCCTAAAGGTGTACAAAATTTGAGCGAAATCGGCCCAGCCGTTCTTGAGATGTAGAAGCGGACTCCTCACGTGCGCACGTGCAGTCGGTCTATCCCACCTGTGACACCTGACCATGTATCGCCAGGTGAGTGTCCTTCCCACCGACAGTCCAAGTTTCAGCAAAATCGGAGCAGTAACGGCTGAGTTATTGCTAGCACAATTTTATGTTCTTAACTGGCGAGCTTAATGTTTGAAGTGTTTTCGAATTCCCCTCGGCAAGAGGTGCTTTCCGTCGGTGCTTCATGTTGTCAAAGGTCAATGGCCTGCCTGCCTAAGCCATCGATCGGATTTTGTCGAAAAATACCCGTAACGTTAACAAACCACGGTCGTACGCTTGAGTCATTTTAACAAAAGTTTATTAACTTTTCGATAACGTTTTGGGTGGATATTGGTCAGAAAAGAATGCTCTTTCCAAATATGTATGTTTCATAGCCAGTGATCAACGTTTTCAATACGTTTTGATGTTGTAAAGGACATCGCGCTCCGCGCAAATCCAATTTTCAAATTAAATTTTCATTATTAAAGAAATGGTACGGATCATCACTTTTTATTTCCTTCCCTCTGATTACACGTGCATTCGCCTGCAAAATGGCACAACATTCATTTCATTCGGTTAAACCGTTTTCCAGCGGCATTGATTTTTCCGTCGCAATGCACGAAATCGGCAATTTTTCACAACAGAGGCTCTTGCCTTGCACGTGGCGGGTACTATGCCACTTCCTTGTACCGACTCGATAGGCCCATCCCTCCTCTATCCATTGGTGGCAACCGCTTCTCGCTACGACCACCCATTGCGGAGATATCAAGCCGGAAAGCTAGCCGTGTCGGCCTGATTTTCGGCCGACCGCCGGTCTCGCCGACCCCGTGTTATCCCTATGGAAGCGCCCTTTTGCACGTGTTGACGGCGCACCCCTGGCCCGATCACGCCTAAATTTTAATACTAAGCCCCCCCCCCACGCCCACAGATTCGGCATGCCAAATTTCACACCGATACGCGGCGCCTTTCAGGCGCAATAAGACACATAAGGCTGACGGACGCGGGCACGGATGGACGGACATGTTATACCTAATTCATAATGTAGATTTTCTATTTTTCAGGAAGAACTATATTCACTATAAAATAATGTTTGACGCGGAAGCTTATTTTTGTTTATTAGCTTCCATAACAAAAATAAGCTTCCATAATGTTTGACGCGGAAGCTTATTACGCGTTACCCAATCATATTGCGTAGTTAAAACATACGCATGCTGCATTGGCTGTAATTTTATCTCAGGAGCGCCTTTTAACATAAGCTGCATGCTGATTGGCTGACGATGACATGGCTGCATTCCTCATTAACCCTCGCCCGTAAACGGTGTTTTGCCACCTTCGCCCATGCAGGGTGGCATGGGCGACTGGTGCAGGGTTGGTGCGACCCCCCCCCTGGCGTTTGAAAACGGAGCGTCGTAGAGCTTAGCGGAAAAGACCAACGGATTGCTCTCAACGAGATCTCGCGATTGGTGGTATATTTTTGGTCCTAGGTCAACATTTGACCTACTTATGACCGGTCAAAGGTCAATTTTTCGGGAAAATCTAACTTTTTCAGATTTCTGCGCCGATTACGGCAAAACGGTAAGAGATATCGACTTGAAACCTTCACTATCGTGATCCTTGATCAATTCTCTATCGTTTGGTGTGTATTTCGATGTCATAACTCTAAAAATGATGCGTTGGGAGCATCGGAAGTCTGCAAGGTCATTTGTGCATTGGGTCACGTCAGGTATGTGACGTCACTGACCTGACCCTGACCCAAAATGAACTACAAGAAACAACCGACGATGCCTGAAATGGATAGCAAATTCGAATTCAGGGCATCAAAATACCCCGAAAAGGCATACAAGTGCAAGAAGTCATTACAGGTCAACCGAGGTCACTGACCTTATCTTGACCTTAAGTAACCTTCAAAATGTCAACGGACATTGTGCCAATGTCAAATCAGCCAGTTGTGATTCTAAAACAATCCATCAGTGTGTCAGGTCAGTCGGCATTTATACCAATGTGAAGCAATCTCCAATTTAGCGTAAATCTGGCCGGAGGTTGTTCCCTTTATGACGTCATAACTCCGTGACCTGACATGACCTTGACAAAAAAAATACCAAAAGTTGCGCAAAGGATGCCCCAGAGGGTGCTGAAAATTTGAGCAAGCTATCTGAAACGGTTCGGCGTGTAGCTAAGAAAAACCTCGGGGGGGGGGGGGGGGGGGGGTTGCACCCCCCTACATGGGCGAGGGTTAAGACACATTTATGAGAAAGACACTCTGGGCCGTAAAAGCTTCTGATTTGTGCTAGTCTCAGGTCAAACTACAAAACTACTATTCCAGTTCAAAACCCCATGTTAAAAGTTAACTATTTCCTGGTCATCTAAATTATCCAATGAGCCGGTATTGCAGGTAAGATTTGGTCTTTATACGCATTACGCAACAAGCTCTGCTTCGCGTTGATTCCTGGTACGTCAATCTGTCCATTCATACATTTGAAACAAAATTGATCCTATCAGAAATATGACCGAGTGCCGTGTGCCAGCAGCCATCTGCCCGGGCGTCTGCGTGGCGCGCCGGATTGCCGACTATTGCGACGCGGCGCTGGACCTGCCGGGCGTGTGCTCCAGCGACCAGCGCTGCTGCGTGCCGGCCGACCTGTTTGACGGCGTGGACCAGGCACCAGAACAGTTTGTCATCCTCGGGAAAAAGCCGGAAACCGCCTCTGCCGAGTCTGAGCCGGAGCCGCAGCAGGAGTCCACTGCAGGTGAGTCACTGGCACCCGGCCGGACCGATTGACCACAGGTCAGTCCGACCTGAATCCGGGTTCACATAAACCGGCTTAACGTAAAACTTTGTTCCTGGCCAAAATTGCCAGATGTAATGACCCCCGGCTCCAGACTGGCTTTAGGCTGGCGGAGCCAAGGCCATATATATAGTATAGGGCGGAGCAAAAAAAAAAAAAAGGATCATGCTGCGCATCAGTTGATGCATCGCAGCGAGGAAAACACTTCAGAAATGATCCGTGTGTTATGACGCTTTTTATCGAACATTATTAATAAAAAAGATGCAAGGCCTCACATGACCTCGTCTGGCCCCGTGGTGCAGAAACCAGGGGTGGGGGTGGGGGTGGAGTCTGTGGGGGTTCGAGCCCCTAGCTTCATAGAAGTAGAAAATGCACTGGCCAGCCAGCAATTTGGTTTAGCTCAAGTCCGTTTTTTTCCCGGCAACTCCGGCGTGCCAGATTTGGGCCGCGCCGGTGTAAACGGAACGCCTTCGGAACAGGGGTTTTGGGTCAATATGGATCTATTCCGGTTACCAGTCTTTGCAGTAGCGCTCCGGAGTTGGTATGATTTCGGGCCGCCGAGTCCGGCACAAGTCCGGCTCCCTGCCACCCACAGTGAATTTTCTTTTTTGTTTCTTCTTTTTTTACATTGATCTGTGTCATGTATTTGAAAAATGTACTTCTTGCATACCGTAAAGTGGGGCTATTTGAAACGGATTTTACAGTTTTGACCTCTCCCTTTAAGACGGTTCATATATCTTATAGCATGTAAATTGCAAAAATGTAGTTCTCTGTGAGCTCTTCCATATAGATGCATTTTGGTTCAGCTAGTAATAATGATTATGGCTATTTTTTTAGTTAAAGCCTATCTCAAATAGGTTCCCACCCCATAGGGTGGGGCTATTTGAGGCAATTTTAATTGCAAAGAAATTGAAGAAAATCGGTCACGTGTCTTCTTCAAGCCTTACATCCCAAATGACCACAATTCAAAACAATGGCCGAAATACACATTATATAGGTGAATAGAGTCACAAAACAGATAGTAAAATCGTCCGTAGAAACATGTCGCATTCTATGTCGTACCCCTGTTTGCCAGATCCCTTAAAGGTAGTTGAGCCGCGTATCTGGCATCTGCTGAGTTTTACTTTACCAACATTGCCGTTTAAAGTTAGAAGCGTACAAATGAATGCTGCCTCTAACGCCTGTCTATGTTTCTTTTTTAATCCTTTACACAAAATTGAAGTTCCGTTCCAGTCTGGAAGGTGACCGGCCTCGTCCACATGCTGTACAAATGCATTAGATAATCTATGATTTCTAAGATCACCCCTGTGCTCCTCTGCCCGCGTATCTATGCCTCTAAACGTTTCCCCTATACTAGATGCCGGCAGCGCTCTTGCGTTGCCTTGGGCCAGAATTGGAGGAACGGTACTGAGGGCACACACCGGGCCAAACCACCGAAACCCAGACTGAGCTTGGACTGAACCTGAAACCAAACGAAACATCCCAAAAATGCTTCGAAGCACGTGAGATTGGTGCGGATATCTTCCTACAGTATGGTATGAATTAACTGCACGTGCATAGTTCATGTCCCAGGCACCCCAGTGCAGTCATTTTCATAACCTCATGTAGCGTGTGTCTAGTTCTATCAGTGTACCGACTTTTGTGTCGCTAGATCGACGTTTCCCGGGATCAGAGGATCCCTAGTCAAAACCGTTATCCGCCCCCCGCACGCGCAGCTTGCACCCCTGGGATATTATCTCGCCGGAATGCTACGACTCAATGTATTCTTCTTATGACCTGCAAGTTTTGAACCAGTTAGAGCGGCCGTTTACCCTGCAGGCGTGGCAACGCACGAAGGGGTGCAATCGGCTTGCACGTACCTAGCTCATGCACCACAGAGTTTAGCTCAACCAAATGTGCACTATTTTGGAGGCCTTGCCTGAGACTACCATTGAACCGATTTTGAGGTTGATAGCTCAAAATTTCTTTGAGCCAGAGGACCTCACGTCAAAACGGTTTTCCGCCCCCAGCACGTGCAGCCTGCACCCCTCGCAGACGGTGACCCCCTGGAAACTGGTTCAAGGTGTTACCGATGTGTCCCGCCAGTGTGGCTTTGTCCGTGACCTCGGGTTGACCTGTAGCCTTGACAAAAAAATTCGTGTCACCGAAACTTTGAAGCGGAATAGCATGTGCCACGAAGCACTGAGCGAACCGAGGCCAGTACCAAAAGTTTACCTCGCCGGAGACGAGTCTAACGGTCCCACTTTCGTCCCGATCGGTCCACCCATTTTGACTCCAGGTCCAAAAAGGCTTGGACAAACTCACTCACATACTCACTCACATACTCACTCACATACTGACAAACAGGCTTGGCCGAACTTTTCTTCAGCGACCCACCAATGGGAATTTCCGGATGCAAAAGCAGATGCATGCTTTTGATCCTCCAATTCTGGATAACTTGTATCGCAGGCACCACATGAATTTTGTAAATCACACTGTCTTGGTTCTTGATCGCTTTCTTTCTTCTTGAATGGACTAGGTTCTTGATCGTCAGACCGGCTGGAGATGAGATATTCATTGTTCCTTTCACGAATCTTTCTATAACTTCTGCTTCTTTTGACATAGGTACTGGGAGGTAGTTCTTTTTGTCTTCATTTCTTTCTCTTGCCCTTCTTCGAATCTTGATCGCTTTCTTTTCTAAGCTATTGTTTTGAATTGTGGTCATTTGGGATGTAAGGCTTGAAAAAGACATTTTGTAGAAACACATGTGTAGCCAAAATCGGTCACGCCAGATATGATTGTTTAAACGCCATGCAATAGGAAATTAAATTGTGATCACTAAATTGTTTTTGCAAAGACTGTTACATGTCCTTTATATTCAATCTTTTCCTTTTTCGTAGGACATGACTAGATAAGTGAAACTTTTTTAAATATAAAGGTACTGTATTATAGAAAGCCTTCGCAAACGCGTTTCGAATATATCATCTTCAGTGCTAGCTTCCCATAATACAAAAAGAAAATGGTACAAAAGTTCACAACACATCGCAAATACACACGCTGCAATTTTTTCTCTCACAATATCACGGGTAGAATGTTTTTATATACTTCTGAAATGCAAGACCGCAAATCGCCCCTCCTAAGGTGTAAAAGCCCCCCTTATGGTTCGTACATGACACACTTTGAATTAATGCCGACTCAAGAATTTTTCTGTGCGATCTCTTCAGACCTGATTTCACCGCACTGGCTTTATCCCACTTAGGTAGGTGACCCTCTGTTTCGGCATGTAACGTAATTGAGTTAGACAAATTATGATTTATCAAATCACGCTTGTGTTCAGTTACTCTGGTTTTAAGCCCTCTGTAAGTTTCACCGATATATACTTTTGGGCAGCCCCCACAAGGAATTTGGTAGACTACGCTGTTCGCCCTTCGCCGTCCTTCAGTTCCTCCCTTAATCATGTCACCTATTTTTGTTCCAGATTTTTCTATCAGTCTAACACCTGCTTGATTTAACCCTTTTGCTAAGCATTGCACTTGTTCAGAGTGTGGCACAACAATGACTCGTTTGCTCTTCTGTTGTCTTTCTTCATTTTGGTTCCTTGTATTTGCTTGTTCTTTCTTCTTTCTTATGCGTTTGGCACTGTTCTTGCATCTAATGAGAAAAGCTCTTGGGTATTTGAGCCGTTCAAATACCTCGAAAATGTGTTTGATCTCATCTGCGATGTACTCTTCGCTGCAAATACGGTATGCGCGCAGGAAAAAGCCAATGACGACCCCTGACTTTGTTCTCATGCTATGTGCAGAATAAAAATGAATATAATCCTCCTTACTTGTTGGCTTTCTATAGACCGCAAACTTAACACTAACATCTTCCCTGATAATCTTGACGTCTAAGAAGTTAAGTGTTTGGTCTCTTTCTTCTTCTAGTGTAAATTGAATGCTCCCATGTACTTGATTCAGCTCTTGTAGCTTCACGTTTAGATCCATTTCCTCTGGCGCAATGACCAAAATGTCATCCACATAATGATACCATTTTGTATCATTTCCCATCACCTTGCTGAATTCCTCCTCCTCTAACATTTCCATAAATAGGCACGCAGCAACTGCGCTGAGAGGTGAGCCCATGGCAAGCCCCTCGTTTTGTGCATATTCTTCTTTGTTGAAGATGAACGGATGAAAGTTGAGGCAGAGCTTTACTAAAGACAGATAATCCTCTTTTGGTAATGGTAATGAATCTTCAGTTAGGCCGTTCAGCGCTTTTTCAAACGCCTTTATAGCGCCGTCGATAGGGACGTTTGTAAATAGCGCCTTGACGTCAAAGCTCGCTAGTTTTTTCCCGTTAAATTGCGTTTGTTTTAACCGCTCAATGAGGTCCCCTGAATTCCTTAAGTGAGCGTCACTTAAGCTTCCCAGAGTCATTGTCAACGGTTTGGCTAGTATCTTAGCTAACCTATGGGGCGCACTTGCAATGCCTGACGTAATAGGGCGCATCGGTATGCCCTGTTTGTGAATCTTTGGGAGCCCTCTCATTTTAGGTGGCAAAGGATCTTGTTCCAATGTGTAAAGTAGTTGTTTTCCTTGTTCAGACTTTTTAAGAATTTTTCGAGCCTCTTTATTGAATTTTTCTCCTTCAGCTTTTGCATAACCTGTCTTTTTCTTTTCATATAGGGGAGAGTGGGGCACATTCGTGCATGGGGCACATTCGTTTTCAGCAGTTTATGGGAACACGAGTGACTGCACGAGCTCAAGGTAAATTATGGAAATATGTCTATCATTGCCGCCCTTCGTTCACCGTAGAAGACAACACTGTACCTGCTGTTATGCTTGATAAAAACGCAAATTTGTAATATTCGTGAGCTTTCCAAACTTTTCTCATATCATCCATTTTCGTGATCCTGACTCGGAAATGTGGTTCAGCTTTTCAAAATTGGGAATGAAGAAGCCCACTCTATTCACGGAACTGCTGCAAACTTGTTTGTTGAA